CCAATGAGATGATCGGGGCTGCCGCGGTAAAAACATCAGTGTTTGCGCCATCTTCTCTCTCTCCCTCGCTGATCTTGGTGGCCCCAGTTGCATAGGTTCTGAAGGGGCGGTTACTCCCTGGGAGCTCCCTGCCTCTTGGTAGGGGCGATGGTTTTGAAGCAGGTGGTCAAGGTGGATGGCGAGGTCAATAAGGGATTCAAATGTTAGCGGTTCATCACGGCATGCCATCTCTGCCAACCCTTTACAAAGAGAGGCATCGCAAGTGAATTTGTCCGGAGCTGGCATCGGCACACTGGCTATGGAGGCAGAAGAGCGAAGAGCTGTGGTGGAGGCAAGAGCTTGTGAAAGGAGGTTGACCTTCATGTCTAGATCTGCCAGACACTTCTGCTGCTCTCCCATCAGCTGTCCTTGAGCTGTAAGAGCATGGCACAAATCCGGCTCTCCTGCTGCATCCATTTAAAAGGCAAAGTAATCCGTCACAACTGAGAGGCTGAGATGGATGCAAGTGCAGTTGAGGCAGTTTAATAACAAAGGCAGACAGTTTCAAAACGTGAGGCAAGTTCAAGTTCAAAAAACAGGCAATGGGTCAGGCGATTAGCAAACAGGACAACGTAGCAAAACCAGAATACAAAAACCAGGAAACAATCAGTATCAGAAACTAGAATAGTAATACGTAAACAAAAGGCTTGGCAAGATCAGAGTTTGCACTACTGTGCATTACTTCGCATTGGTTGAATGTCTATGGTCTGTTTATATAGGGTGTGAGTGTAATTGGAAAAGGTGTGCGTGATCAAATCTCACGAGATGATCAACCTGCCGGTGGAATGTTGTGCTGGGGATTGTAGTCCGTGACAACCATGTTTGTAGGCCACGTTGTGTTCTGGGAAGTTGTGTTCAAGGAAGGAGTTGACCTGACAATTATTTGCTAATCAGATGGCACAAACATTTTTACAGGCCCTGTAATCAAGACTGAAATTCTTGAAGACAGTCGGACTAATACAATGAAACAGGCAATTAAAAAAAGAACGAAAGAAAATGCCTAAGACCTATGAATCAGTCATTAGACACATATCATAGCATATTAGATGTATAAGTGATAAACCACTGATATTGATAAATGACCTGAAAACCAGAGTGACTTCACTAAACTTCCCCAAACAAGTATTAATACTGTAGTATTGAAAAATGTAATAATGCAACTTAGTTGAGTTTCATTTCAGAATTAGCAGATATTGAAAATTGAATGCAAACTCAGCACATGTGCTGAACAATGACACTGACACTGATTGATTTCTGACCATAGCGAACTGAAAGTAGGACTGTATAAAGTATTCTTAAAATTAGATTTAAAATTCAAAAATTTAGACATCTTAAACTATACAGGTACAGTATATAGTGACTTTTCTTTTGGTGTGACTCACTTAAGTGTTTTGAATGTAATAAAGATGGTCAGTTTTACTTTTTGCAGACTACTAGAATGCAAAATAACACTTTTTAGTTCATACATACGTAAGAGAGTCGTCATTATATAAAAAAAAATCCTCACTGTGTGTGTGTGTGTGTATGTGTGTGTGTGTCTCTGAGCAGGTGTATACGGTGGGAGGTCTGTCTGCGGTCAGGGTCCTGGGACTCATGCCAGCGGTTTTCTGCCTCCATGCATGCTCTGTGTTTCTGCCCTTAAGTACTTTGGAAATCTTAGTCAGTCATTTTTCCTCTTTATTCACTATGTAGACAAGTTAGAAATCCCATTCAAACTTTTCTCTGCTTCTCTTTTCAATTTGTCTATGAATAATCCACTAAACATAAATCAGTGATGTCATTCCATACCACAGTTGTTTTGTACTTTAACCCTTTCAGATATACAGCACTGTGCAAAAGAGATAAGGTACATTTAAAGAAGTCAAGATGCCTTCAAAAATTACAATATCATTTTTTCACCACACACTGATAAAGGCTTAAAACCGAAACAGAGCTTTGAACAGAGCTTTATGTGTGTGTGTGTGTGTGTGTGTGTGTGTGCAGACTTCTTTCTTTAAGTAATAAAATCCTAATTTGCCTTTGGATTTAAAACTGCATATTCACTTAGGTATCCAAATTCACAAAAGAACCAAACTCCAAATTCACTTAGGTACACTGTCATTCAGTTTTCTAAGGAAATTGGCAGGTAAGTTGTTCCAGGCCTCTTGAAAAATCCCAGACAGCCATGATGATGATTTGATCAGAAATGTGTTCTGACACTTAAGAGGGTCCATTACAAAAATTTCTCTGTAACAGTTTTTGGAAAAGCAGTTATTTTTGAAAATATATATTTTTTTATGTTCTACTGAAACACAAATGCAGTAGGAATAACATAGGTGTATAAGACAAAATTTATATGAAAAATGTTGGGTATGGAAGATGTAGGTTCAACACAACCTTAGCTAATGAGCAATGTTATTTAATAAACACTCAATATGCCAGCTTATCAGGTACACCTATTATATACACTCACCGTGTAATAATATGGCCTTCAGGGTGTCCCAATAAGGTAGGTGTATCTGATAAAGTGGTCTATCTGTGTTTTAAAATCTAAAGCTGCTGCACCTGTTTCACTCACTGCACAGAAACTGATAAATTATACAAACTTGGCTTCACAATTAGCAAAATATGTGCGGATTCAAAGGAATTAAACTCCATGCCACTCATCCAAAGAGCCAAGAGCAAATGTGTTTTTCGGATGGCAGAACTCATAACATGAGGAATAAATGGTTAGATGGTTCTAAGTTGTGGTGCTCAAATTTAACTAAGAAGTAGGTAGACAGTACCAATGAGTGTCTGTAATACATCCTCTCACCAGGATGAACATCTGGCCATTCCGGGCTCTGTGAGCCATGGAGAGATGGCTGATTAAGGGGGTGAGAGTTGTTGTCTGAGCTCAGCCTCAGAGATACTAATCCAGCCTACTGCCAACCCGATGCCCCTCTCAAAAGGTTCATCCTGAGGCCAAGGGCAGCCTGCATAGAGAATGACGAAGAGAGGGGTGAGAGGTCACAGCATGCACAAGTGCATTTGTGTGGAAGGATTTTAGACTTTCAGTCAGCAGCTGTGTGCAAGGTGTACATATACAGTACATTTAGTGTGGATTTCACTTTGTTTGGATTGAAGATTTTGTAGTATACCTAAGCCTTTCTATCATGTATCCCTTTCCAGATTACATTTTTTATGCAATGGTAGTTTGGGAGATTCTGGAGGTTTTGGATTAGCCAGAGGTCAGTTCTCAATTCTCTACCCACTGTTTTTGCCAATCCAGCTTCCTGGACATTGACTGGTTTGGACAAAGGCAAACCAAAGAAACAGACATTGGATAGAAAAAAAAGTTCCTCAGAGAGCAAGTGTGATGTTGCCTGTTTCCTCCTTACCAGGCATGACCCAGCAGTGGATGCTCTCGGACTTTCACATACCCTCAATTTATCTTTCGGATTCTGTGGTCAAACACTATTGTATTAGTTATTCTACAGTCTATTGCTTCCTACAGCACCTTCTATAAAGTACACTACATAATGCGTTTCAAATGATTTCAGGCAAGAGAGAGGGTGTAATGAGAAATTGTTTATACTCTCCACAGACCCGTGGTATTGATGTAGCAAGCAGCCGGCTCAGGGTTATGGGTAATCACCCAAGTCACTATGATAGTGGCACACACACAGTTGGGCACTGTTGACAGTTACTGTTACAGCAGTAAGCCTGAGTAGTATGGGAGAACCTCAGCTATACTTCTCCAGGACCAGTCTAACAGATTTGTAGCGAGCAGATGACAATTAATTACACTCACATAATTTAACCCACACTCTGTAATGGCAGTTTTCCAACCTGAAACACAGTCAGAACTCAGAACTATGAATATAATGACTCAGTCTATATCCTCAAGCCTATTAGGACTGTGAGAGTGTAAGAGGAGGAGGATGAAGGAGAGGGGGCTCAGGTGCATGACTGGGTCATTGGTGTCGCTCCGTTAGTTTTGAGGAGTGTGAAGGGAGGGGGTAGGGTCATCCCCCCTGAAGAGGGACTGGTAATCCAGACAGAAATATGGAGCACAGCCCAAACAGGCCAAAAAGTCCCACAAACATACAAAAACACACACACCTCTTGCTCTCTTTTAACATTGCTCTCCATATCTAACTTTCTCTTTATCGCCATGTATTCCTAGCTCTTTTTTCAGTCACAAAAATTCGATTTCTATTTCAGTCTGCTAAAAACTTCAGTGTACTTAATTGGGTGAAATATACTGCATATCTGCATGCTGAGGTTATAGTGTTCTTTAATGGATGTGTAATATGTTCTGCGCAGTGTGTGCTGAAAGTTTTATTGGATAATAGAGACCATAATTAGAGTGGCGTGTAGGTGGAGAATATAGAGTTGAGTTTTTGACTTGCTCAAAATGATTCATTAGAGAAAAATGCTTGATATATCTGTCAGCACTAGTCCTGATTAAAGGTTCCAACCTCCCAAATGAAGCAGCACAAGAACAAAAGAAAGCACCTTGGCTGTATCATTCAGTGCTGTAATGTACCCCTTACGAAGAAGATGAACAAAGAAAGGATTAATTATTTCCACACAGGCTACATGTAAACACTGAATACAGTGTCAGCAACCACTTCCAGAGAACAAAATAAAATATACAAATAAATAACATATATATATCATTCCTTATCTAATTTAAAAGTTTGGACAACAATATCTAAATGAGCTTGTGCTAATTATCCAGAAGGCTGGACAGAGCTGGGTAGTAGTGTAGGTACAAGAAGCAAAGCTATTAGTTTAGCTATATTTTCCAGTAGCTGTGTTGTAGCTTCGTTTGGAACCCAGGCTTGCAAGTAGTTAAACTTATCTTTACTGCAGAGTAGCTAGTATTGTTGAGAAATGCTACATTGTTTTATTTTCTTTTGAAACAATCATGACCTGAAGGAAAACAAAAAAAAATGGATTGGGCTAATCACTGGTTAGTAATATGAAGGAGTAGTAGCTTGGTGGTGCAGTGGGTAGCACTGGTGCCTCACAGCTCCAGGGTTCCTGGTTCAATCCTGAGCCTGAGTTACTGTCAGTGTGGAGTTTTGTATGTTCTCCCCACATTTCTGGTTGTCTGCTAAATTGCCCCTTGGTGTGAATGAATGTGTGCAAGATGCGCTATCCCATCTGTGATGAATTCTCCCATCTTGCACCCAGTGTTGCTGGGAAGAGTTCTGGGTCCACTGCAACCCTGACCAGTATGAAGCAGATACTGAAGATGGATGAATGAATAATATGCAGTTAACACAATTAATCATATTCTAATCATCACCACAGTTTGTGGCTTCCTCAATTAATGAAACATAATCAACTGCAATTATGCTCACCTAATCTAAAGTTGGCTAATGTAACATATCAAGCTTTTAGTAGTACTTCATGTACTTTATATAACACACTTACTATTGATATAACTGTCTGACCAATCACAGTACATGCTGACAGTTTTCTGATTTTCATGCTTTCCAAACACATTGAGAGTGTGCAGACATTTAACATAATTAACATAATTAATTACATTACAAATTAAGGCACTTTTTTCTTGTTATGTAACCTTTTGCATAGTTTTTGTAATTATTAGAAGTAGAAGTTGACACCAATCCTGGATGTAGCTTCAATGCAGTTAAGCTAATTTTGCCACCTAGCTTGTAGCAAAGCTTTTCTGAAGCAGTGCTTTAGAGCAGCTATTCCAACAGTGGAGCGAGAGTATGTTTGTTAAGGCTGTTTCTAATGTGAAAAACCCCTACGTGTGTGGCAAGTGAAACAGAGAGCTTTAAGCCTTTAACTTGTTGCAGTGAGGAAGAGAGGGAAATAAAGAGAACATGAGGAAATAGGTGTAAAAGAACAACCAGAGTACATTTGCATGGCTTCAGATTTTTAAAAAAATATGCAGGACAAAGGCATATTGTTATTACACTTTTAATAACCCAACACTGGGTGACTAAAATACATGTCTCATAAACTGGATAAGTACATATTTCAGTAAGGCTACTATTAAACCCAACCATGTTTTAAATATCCCCCAACCCCAATCCCCCCACCCAAGCTAAAACCATCTTTCTTCTGCAACTGCTGAAAATGGTACACATGACGCATACGTATACACACAGGCACACACACACACACAACACATACACACACACACACAGCTCCACATCTCAGGTCTGAGACTTCAAAGGCATGTGGAGTGAAACCATGAAATTACAGCTAAGGTGTCAATTACCCTTTGAAACCCAGCACTGCTCAAATCCAGGCAAGACTCGGCCAGCCCTGGAATTAGAACAAATGAAAAAGAAAAAGGAGGAGAAAAGGACAGACAGAACTACAGGGGAGTGGTAGAATTGTGAGATTTAACAAGCCATGTTGACAATATGGCAGCTATAAAAAAGAGCCTAATTTTGCCACAAATTTACCACACACACACACATATTATACAGTATACTGCCAGTTTAGAATAAATTCAGTCAATCTTCAGTAACCACTTTAACTTGGTCAGGGTCACCCATTCATTGTGGGGCACCAAGCGAGCACACACACAAACACACACACAGATGCATGCACGCATGTACACACACTTAATCACACCTAGGGGCAATTTAGAACAACTAATGTCCCTATCAGCATGATTTGGGACTGGAGAACCCAGAAGAAAACACGAACACACGAACACAGGGAGAATGTGTGAGATTCCACACAGAAAGTAACCCAAGCTCAGGATTGAACCAGGGATCCAGTGAGGAGGCAATGCTACATATTGCTAATAGGTTAATAATAATCGTAATAGTTTCTCAAAGATTGAAAGAACCTATAATGCCTGAAGAAAGTGCTGTGGAGCGGTGGTGTTTTTTTTTTGTTTTGTTTTTTTTTAAACACATAGCCTTACACACATAATGTTTTTGTGTATTGTGTGTGTCTTTCTGTATGCATGTGTGTGTGTGTGAGAGAGAGAGAGAGAGAGAGAGAGAGATATTCTTATTTGCTTGTCAAATACCAACTAAAGCACTCAGTTTATTTACATTTTTTAAAAATATGTATTACAATATTTAACCCAATTATTGAATACAATTCATATATTTATCTTTGTTTTCTGTATGGTCTCCGTATTTGCCTTTTTCTGTAATCCCTCACATTCATTATGAAATTCATCCTACTTGTTGTAAATGGTTCATTCAGAAGGGTGAATATATAAAAATTATTTGCTGTAGAATTTCTCTTCTTGATCCAGGCTTTTCTACCAGACAATGCACAATATTTTGGATGTAAACTTCACAGATGAAAGAGTTTTTACAGTGACAAAAGAGTGACATTTTTGTGCTCTAAGGGAAGTGATGCAAGAGAAGCACGAGAAGCACTTTAAAAATAACCCTGGGCCCAAATCAAAGCAGCTGGAGAGTGGTTCTAACAAAAGCGGTCTCTGCTGCTGACAGACACACACCTTAAAGTTCGAGCCTGCCACTTCCTAGCAGTCTGCAGGGTGTGTGTGTGTGTGGTTAGGAGGGGTCATATTTAGTACCACAATGTATTATTCTAAAAATGAAATTATGGAAATGAATATAGCCATTTCAGAACACAGTATGAAAAAAATCTCCAGTGCTCCACACCGTTACTAATGATTGCAAGACAGTAGTGTAGTACTGGAAAAACACTACATATGTATGAACACATGAGCTCTAGAAGTATCAGTGTAACAAAATAGACTCAGAGCAGAAGATCAGCTTCCCTGTGCTAGACCGCTTGACAGACCGATAAATCACTCTTGTGGAGAGGCACGGGGTGTCAGAGGTGGATATGGGGCTTCCTGTGACTGCTGACAGGCACAAACGAGGCCTGAGAAAAACAAGATCCTCAGGTGTGTGACTCACTCTATCACAACACAGAGACAAACCATGTTTTTATTCTGTTGTACACACTCAATAAAATAAATATAGCTACCAGAGTATAGTTACTACAGTATAAAATTTTGTAACAGTAACAAGACAAAACTGCTAATTTAGGAAAATATAGGGATTATGAATATATCACAATGAAACACAAAGAACTGTGTTTATTATAAACCTAAATCTCATACCATAATAGTGTAAAAATATAATAATTATTACATTTTTGGTTGATTATTTATTATAATTCATTAATATTCTATGCCAATATTCTGAGGGCTCAACACAGAGCCCTGTGGTACCTCGTCCCATAGCTGATCGATTTAGTTTACAAATTCTCTACAATTCTAATAAATGCCTCTTTTTCTGTTATACTTGCAAAATAAAACTGTTGACATTATTCTGAAAACACAGTCAATAATATTATTATATGGATATGACAACTAGTACACATCAAGATTATTGTGTGTTGTCTAATGAGACGTGCTGAGATTTAGTAAAACACACTTATAGGAAAACTCCCTTAGTCACTTCTAACCGCATTCTCTGTTTTGCGTCGACTAATTTAGCTTTTGCTTCATTACCCTTACTTAAATACATTACCATACACACAAGTCTTTGTTGATGACTCCTTTGAAGGAATTTGTCAAAGTCTTTCGTGATGCTTCATGTAAGCACTAAGCTGCTTGGCTTCATATCCATTGTGGGATCTAATGTTTAGGAAAGATGTCTTGTGGTCTCCTTCTAAAAACACTCCCTACCTCTGGAATCGGGGAAATTGTGATCAGGATAATAAGTCTGATTCATTATGAAGATTGTAAATCAACCACCGGTGCTTCAGGTGATAAGAAACTGCTAATGAAATCTGTTGATTGAATTTCTTCAATTCCTTGAATGAAATGTAGCAGCAGAGAAACGCTTAATAGATAATGATCACACAGTATGCATATGCTCTAGGTCAGCTAACACCTTTATCATTCAGTAAGATCTCCAGGGAAGCCACTTAACAAGACAAATATCTTGCAGGGAAGAACCCTCTATTATCTAAACCACAGAGAAAAACATCCTGAAAGGTCACACACTGCCACCATTGTTCTTTAGCCCATCAAGATGATATTAAATGCTCTAATATTCCCATATATCTTTTAGCATGCTAGCTTGTGAGAGGCATCTCATTCAGCCTCAGGGGAGCAGGTGGAAAAATTTGAAGTTTTCTACCTGCCCAAACACCCACAGTGGATGACGTTTCTCAAAGGAAAGAACAAAAAATATCTTAATTATTAATAGGGTATATTGCGAACCATGAGTCATTTGGATAACTTTCGATGGGGAAAAAATTACAAAGCAATAATGTGCTGTGTGCCACCCATGTGTTAAGGTCAGGTATGCAATGTACCACATTTTTCTGGTACATTCATCACAGCTGCCAGTCTGCGTGTCAGTGTATGAGATAGTTGATTGGCTAATTACATAGCAAGCAAAGGCAGAGGGACGAGGCCTTCTTTCTTGACAGGTGACAGTTATTGACAATCGACTCGTCTAGCCATAATAATGCCTCAGGGGGAGGAACCAAATCCTTCCAACGTAAACACTGATGGAGTGAGGCTTCAAATGCAGAGGCTTTGACCTTGACAACTGTAACTATGTTCAACAAATTAGCCGGGAAAAAAAGCTCAGGTGTTTTCAGGGCTGTATATAAAAGAGAATGCATTGCCTGTAACTGACAGTCTGAATCTGTGCTGTTCCCTGTTTGTTTTTACTGTCATGATATAAAATGAGGGAGACAGTTCTGAGTGCAGGGAATCTGATCTGTCAGTCATATTGCTGAGAAAGACATCATTTTCCATTCATAGTCTGCTTGAGGCAGAGGAGTAGGCTTTATATTCATATGAGAACTACTTTTGGCATTGCTCTCTAAATTCTATTGAACATGGCTTTTGGAGCTGAGTTGTGCTAGAATCCCTGTCCGGTGTACATGCCTGAGGATGCTGAGGATATTGTGCTTTTAAGTGCATGTGTGTATGTGTGTGTGCTCTTTCAGGTGCCTGCATGTATGCTACAATGTGTGAGTGGCAATGTTGGGTGAAAATGGGCTGCAAGTTAGCAGCATGGGGTTCCCCCAAGCTTATTCATTCCCACAGCAATTACAAACACT